TCCTCATCTTAAAATAGCAATCTGATTAAAGATTTTGAAAAGGAAAAATCTAAGGGGTTGTTTGATAACCATTTCATTTTCACTTTTCTTGAAAATTGAAAACATATTTGGTAGTTTTCAAAATCACCCTTAATTTTTAATACATCTTGAAAGTGTTTTTAGTTTTTAGTTTTCATTGTTTTTGCGCTCATATTTCATTCATTAATTTTACATTACCACTCATGAAATGGACACCAATTACCAAAACTCGGTAGTTGGGACCTCCCAACTTAGACTTGGCCGCTTGATTCTTGTGTTTAGCCACATACCCAATCCAAGCTTTGAGAACTCCATATGCAAAATTCACCGAAAAATCATCCTAATTCAAAAAAATTCATTAATTGGAAACTTAAATCAATTACCAAACAACTTTTGTTCAATTTTCACTTTTCACTTTTAAAAACAAAAAAACAAAAAATAGTTACCAAACAAGTACAATTTTCAGTTTTTAGAAAATGAAAAATGAAAACTAAAAACTAAAAATTGAAAATTGAAAATTGAAATGCCCTAAGGGAGCGAATCTGTTTCTTACACTCAAATTCAAATCCCTCTCCATAGATTAATTTATAATAATTTAGATTATCATTTATACTAAAATGCATCCGATCTATAATTCTTTCCATCTTCTCAATACATGTATTAAGCTTAGTTGGCTAGTAAAAGTAGCTTAAACTTTCTAGAATGGTCCGAGCTACTCCATTATTATATAAGCCGTACTACACCATATAGAGAGACCACCGAGAGACTCTCAACCATATTAATGTTCCAAGAAGAAAGGTATCATGCCACATGTCCACCTCTGTTTTGTCTATGAGGTTCATTTCATTTATGGGTAAGGAAATTTCAAATAACAGAAAAAGGGTTTATTTTATTTACACACAATCAAAGGTTGTTTTAGTCAAAGGTACGTGGTGGTCCAAATTTGTGTGTGTAAATAAACATACTCAAAATCAGACATTTCATTATGAAGTCTGCATGCAGCAGTAATCAGCTACAGTACTTTCCCCTAGACTCTGGTTCATCTGGCATTGGTTGTTCAGAGATAGACCATATCTTTTGACCGAATAAATAGATGCTTCAAGATTGTTCGATACGAAATTGTAACACGTTAGCGATAACTTTGGTTCTTGAAGTTAGAAAATAAAAATTTCATGACTTGTTGCACAATTAACATCATATAAAAAATAAAATAAAAACTTGCATTCATTAATTCTAACTTCAAAAATACTACTCTAGCTCTGCAGTCAAATTATTGAGAACAACATATAGGAAACTAGAGCAAAACTAAGGGGGGGAAAATAACAAATATCGAACCCTAATACACTGCATTCCTGAACAGTAAGCTCAACTTTGTTGGACTGCACTTGATCATCTTCATCTTCATTCTCTCTTGACATCTCCTCCGGTGATTTTCCTTTTGATTCTGGCATCGAAGAACCCTAAAATGCTGATCACACCAAGCACAATGAGAGAATTCGTTATTCCAATGTCAGGCAAGTACCCTGCATCAATCTTAACATGGTCTTGATTCTGTGATGCATATAAGAACTTGAAAGCCCCAATAATAGCCCGGCCTTACCTGAAGTAGCAGAAATTCCATTGCAATTCGGCCAGAATCTTGCTGGGAAAATCGCCACTGGTACAACAAAAGTTGTGCTATTGGGTTCAAAATTGGCAAAGAAAAATGTTAGACCATTTATGACAATCACCCAGTACCCAGGAACCGTGCCACATAGGGCTATTAGGGTTTGTGCCCTAGCAATTTTGTAAAGCTCATCCAAGGCACTCATAGAGCCTGCTGATGGCAACCACCCCACATCGCTAAAGATGTCCTTTTGGAAAAGGTTTTGGCTATAGTAAGCGATGTCTAGCAAGAACCATGTGGTTGCTGTGCCCGATAAGTGTAGCCCATGTCTCCTAAGAAACTCTTTTGAAAATAGAGCAAACTTTGAGGACCTGTTGGATATTATCATTTTCTAACTAGTTTTACTTTCTAGAATGGTCCGAGAGTTACGATAAACCGCACTGCATCATCTAGAGTTCTGAAACACTGAACCATATGTATGTTCCAAAAAGAAATGCCTAGTATCATGCCTCATGCTCACCTCTGTTTTGTATTCGGGGTTCATCTCGTTTATTGTAAGGAAATTTCAAAGATTTTATTTTATTTAATTCCCACATATAATTGGTTCTTTTTGGACAGATCAGAGGGGCACCACTTCAAAGAAAAATGTGTATAGACGGATAACATACACAAAATCAAGCATTCTTTATGAGAAAAAGACCCTTTTTTTTTTCCTTTTCTTTTTCTGGATCCAAAATCCGGTCAATGTACTAAACACAGCAATAGATCACTTTGGTTCTTGTAGTTCGAAAATCAAAATTTCATAATATATATCCACAATTTAACATGACACAAAAAAAAAAAAAAATAGAGACTATCCTGCTCATTAATTCTAACTTAAAAAATACTACTCGAGAAGTGCAATCAAATTACTGAGAACAAAAGAAAACTAGAGCAAAACTAATGGAAAAACAAACAAACAAACAAACAAAGGTCGAACAAAAATCCTTGTATACAGACATCCCTAAACAGTAACCTCAACTCTGTTGGGCTGCACTTGATCACCTTCAACTTCATTCTCTCTTGACATCTCCTCCAACGATTTTCCCTTGGACTCCGGTACCAAAAACGTAAAGAAGAACCCCAAAATGCTGATCACACCAAGCACAATGAGAGAATTCCTCATTCCAATGCCAGGCGGATACCCTGCATCAGTCTTAGCCTTATCTTGATTTTGTGATGCATACAAGAACCCGAATGCCCCAATAATCGCCCCGGCTTTGCCCGCAGCTGCGGAAATCCCATGGCATGTGGATCGGAACCTTGCTGGGAAAATCTCTGCCGGTATAACAAATGTTGTACTATTGGGTCCAAAATTGGCAAAGAAAAATGTTAGACCATATATGACAATAAATCCGGTGTTGTTTTCAGGTCTAGTCCAGTGATGGTATGGAATTGCCAAGACGAACATGAAAACAGTCATGAAGAAAAACCCAATTAGCTGAATTGCAAATCGGCCAATGTGATCGATGAGGAAGACCGTGACCCAGTACCCGGGAACTGTGCCACATAGGGCTATTAGGGTTTGTGCCCTAGCAATTTTGTAAAGCTCATCTAGGGCACTCATAGAGCTTGCTGATGGCAACCATCCCACAGCGCTGAAGATGTCCTTTTGGAAAAGGTTTTGGCTATAGTAAGCAATGTCTAGCAAGAACCATGTGGAGGCCGTGCCCAATAAATGTAACCCATGTCTCCTGAGAAACTCTTTGGAAAATAGAGCAAACTTTGAGGACCTGTTGTTTTGTGGCTGCGCTACTTGTTGTTTCTCTTTGATCTCAACATTCAACACTTTGGCCATGTCTTGGCAAGCCTTGGTTTGATCCTTGGCTACCAAGGCAGTGTAACGAGGGGTCTCTGGCATTTTCATTCTCGAATAGAAAGTTAACGCCGCGGGGACTGCTCCAAACATGAGAATAATCCTCCATACGTAATCTGCCTGAGGCACAGTCGATCCGATCGGATCAACTGAGTAGGGGTCAGCATGGTATAGGGCGCGAAAGATAGAAGAAACAACAATAGCCACCATCCCACCAGCCAAAATCCCAAACCCTTGCATTGCAAAAACCGACGCTATAAACGCCCCGCGAGTCCTTTTATTGGCATACTCCGACATAATTGTCGCCGAAAGCGGGTAGTCGCCACCAATGCCAAAACCTAGCCAAAATCGGAAAAAGCAAAGAGTGGCTATGACAGAAGTTGGGGAACTACCAAAAGAGAGGCCAGAGCCAATGGAACAACCCACCATGAGCATTAGGGTTATGCCATAAGCGCCCTTACGCCCGAGCTTGTCCCCGAGCCACCCAAAGAAGAGCTGGCCGGCTAGGGTACCACATAGGGCAACTCCATTGACTGCGGCTGCCACGTTTGGCGGTAGGCTGCCGGGCTTTGCTGAGCCCTCGACGTGGTAGTAAATGCGCCCAAGGAGTTTGGTGACGAGTGAGATGCAAAAAAGGTCATAAGAATCGGTGAAGAAACCCATGCCGGAGATCACAACCGCAGTGAAGTGGTAGAATTGGGTTTTGGCTACGTCCAGCACTTTTAGGACCTCAGGTTGCTGTTCCTTCGCCATGGTTGGAGTTTGTGAATTTCTCTCTCGATCAAGTTTCTTCTTTACTAATCTTATAACTTCTTGAAAATACATTAATTGTGGGTTGTGATTTATGTATTTATAAGGGTTTTTGGGTGGCAAATTAATCCTCGTCCAATAAGTACTAGGATATAAATGTTTTAACTCCTATTTGGATTTGAACTGCCTCTAGGATGTGTATAGGTTGAATCAAATGCACATAAGGGTTTTAACTCCTATTTCGAGTCAAACTGCCTCTAGAATCTGTACAAGTTGAATAAAATGCTTTTATTTTTTTAATATAATTAACCTAAATAAACCTACAATTTTTTTGTTTTTGTTTTTGTTTTTTAAACTTGACCCCTAACCATAAGCCTAAACCCTCGAACCCTAACCATAAGCATTCCTCTTCATTATTTATATATATAAAAAAATCAGGTAATGCATAATTCCGTCCTTATTGCTCTAGAAAATTCATCAGCTCTGTTAATTTGGGACACCAATATTTTTCTTCGTTTTTATAAATAATTGTTTCTTTCCGGAAATGCTATATGGAACTAATGCTTTTTATGTCAATTATATCTTTGAGAAACAAAAAGTTACGTTTTCTTTATGAATATTTATGCACTTGACATTTAAAACTACTGGGCCTTAGATAATTCGATACCACGTTTCGATTGAGCTTACTGAGTATTACATAATATTTTTCAGTTTTGATATGGGCTGATCATTTGCACTTGTTCTTAAATTACTTGTCATTTTGAATTCTGCAGAAATGGATACAGAGCCTGCATTGCTGTTGGTAGATATAATATGTTTAAAACATTGTACATTTATGATGATCGTGGGTCAAGGAAAGCTGTTGATGGCATCATTACAAAAGGTTTACAATGAAAAGTTTTGCAGCAGCCCTTGTTCAGGTCATGGAACGACAAGTAAGGGTGCAATCACATGTTGGCTGCTACAGACTTCTCCAGTGGTCATGTCTCCTTTTAAGTAAGAGTAAGTTTGCTACAGTCTCGAAGAATGCATTGTGTAAAGTTGCCACAGTGCATGCATCATTATTTCATATTGTTATGCAAAGATCTTTCCGTGAGCGAAGGGCCTGCGAGAAGACATTTGGTCACTTATTTTCTCAGGTTTAGCCCGTTGAACCTTCTCTAATTTACGTTCTTATTTGCTCATAGCATTTCATATTTCTTGTTTCCTTTCCCGTCACAAGACATTTACAAAATGTATATAGAGGAACTTAAAGATGCACGTATCCCATGCAAAGATAGTCCTGAGTTCGTGTGGTTGTTGATGGAGTTCTCAAGTACCTCAAGGAAATCATCTTCTTTGTTTGAGCAATGCAAGGTGAGAGATTATTTGTTTCATGACCATGTATGAAAGGGGATATTTATTCTGTTTTTTTTTTCTTCAAATTGATTTGATGTAGTTTTTATGTGCCGAAGTTTTTAACTGATCCTTTGCTTTTCACAGCCAACGTTTCTGGATATATATCTTAGGGCAATTTTAAATGCAAGGGAAAAGCCAGCAAAGGGTCTTAGTCTTAGTCAAGCTTTTCATCCACTTTTTAGACATATGTTACATGAAGATTTTCAAAACATTGTGCTTCCCTCTGCTGTTAAAATGCTGAAACGTAACCCTGAGATTGTACTGGAATCTGTTGGGATTCTCTTGAATTCAGTCAACCTTGATTTAAGTAAGTACGCGGTCGAAATTATTTCAGTGGCATTGCCACAGGCTGGGCATGCAGATGAAGGCAGAAGGGTTGGGGCGCTGGCAATTATACGATGTGTGAGCCAAAAGTCTAGTAATCCAGATGCTTTAGAAGCAATGTTCAATGCTGTCAAATCTGTAATTGGAGATTTGTTCCTGATTATTTTATTATTTTGGGAGTTTTGAAAAGAATGGAATGGAAGGGAAAGTTGTAATGAACAGCGAATGGAATGAGAAAGGAAGGTTTCAATTTGAACAGGGTTAGAGGGAAGACTTACATTTCCTTACCAGAGAATTGGCATGATCAATGCACTGCAAGAAATGTGTAATGCTCCAGATGGGAAACATCTCAACAGACGGTCACAAACCTTATGCAGTTTCCTTTTTTCTTGTTACATTATTTTATTGAACTCTTTCTCGTATTTTTGTATGAGTACTCAGATCTTGTGGATTTAAATTTTTGCTTAGCTTTCTGATTGAGTATTTCATTTTTGTTTATGCTTCTTCCTTGTGTATTTATATTTCTATCCGATGTTCTAATTCCCAGGAAATGAGAAGGTGAAGCTTGCAATTTTGTCAGCTCTAGATTTTTGCGCAGCAAGATCTGCTGATGCCATTCAATCAGATGTAGTTTTGTTTTCCTCATCTGGTCTTAAGGAGAAGGAAGCTCTAAGAAGAGGGCCTCTTCGTGGTCTGGGAGCCATATGCAAAATCGTACAGATGCGGTTTTCGGGTTAGCTGTGGTTGATTAAGTTTTATTTGGCTGTGATTTGGTGCCATTTTAAAGCGTCTAACCGCGCGGCTATACTCCTGCCGAATATTGTAACTAGCCCGGCGACTATACGCTTTAATATATTAGAATATTTAAATAGTATAGCCGATCGGCTATACACTTTAATATATTCAAATATTCTAATAGTATAGCCGTTCGGCTATACACTTTAAATATACTTCAACATTTAAACAGTACAGCCTTGCGGCGATACTCTTTAAATATATTCCAGTATTGTAATCGTATAGCCGAGCGGCTATACCCTTTAATATATTCCAATATTTTAATAGTATAGCCGAACGGGCATAAGCTTTAATATATTCCAGTATTGTAATAGTATAGCCGGCCATACTCTTTGGATTTATTCCAGTATTTTTATGGTATAGCCGCGCGGCTATACATTGAATATTTTTTTTTTAAAAAAAATTAGTATTTTTATCTTCGCCTTATTTAATTACTAATTATATTTCAATTAGTATTTAAATATTTTAATTAATTTCACAAATTACTCAATATATATTAATTAATTATTTTAAATTATTTTGTGGGCTTTAAAAAAAAAACTTTCGGTTAGTTTGTTTAGTTTAATATTTTTAATTAGGTAATATCTTAGCTTTATTTAATTACTTTAATTAGAAATTAGATTTTAATTATGAGTAATACTAGTCTTACTACATTTTTTATACCACATGATGTGGCAGTTGATGTGTAAAATACTAGTTTATGTTTTTCTAATTTTCTTTATTAAAATACACTTCATTAATTTAATTGATATGACATATGATATGGACATGCCACATCATATGGTATAGAAATGTGGGATAATAATGTGGTAAGTGTAGCATTACTCTTTAATTATTATTTTTTTAGTGAATAATTAGTATTGAAATATTTTAATTAATTTCAGAAATTAATTAATAAATAGTATTTAATTCTTTTAAATTGCGTTTGGATGAGGGAAATAAACTTGGAATTTTGACCAAAGTCAGAATTTCTAATTTGACATGAACCAATTCCTGTGTTTGGATAAGAAAACATAGAAATTTAGAAATTCTTGCTGAGAAAAAACATGGAATTTGGGAATCATAAATCTCAACTTTAAATTCTATCTAAAAGTCGTCATTTCTAAAATCCCAAGAGAGATTGAGTTTTTAAAACATATCAATTTAAAAATAAAAGTTAAATTCCGTGTTTTAAATCCGTCACCCAAACAAGAAACTTTACAATTTCTAGAAACATTAATTTCCGTCATTTTAAATTCCAGCATTTGTGAAATCCTTTATACTTTTAAATTTTCTCATCCAAACGCACTGTCATGGACTTGAAAACTTGGGCTTGGAGTTGTTCTTTTGGACGAAATTTCTATCCTAGACGGAATCACAATAATATTTGGAATTTTTGAAAACTTATTGGAGTCTTTTTTTCTTTTCTTTTTTTGGAATCGTATTGGACTTGAGTTACTACCGTGAGTTGTATACAATTATCCTTTTTCAAAATAATTAACGAATTTAAAGTGACGATTTCAAACAAACAATTTAAATAAAAAAAAAAAAAGATTTTACAACCAATAGTGTAAGGTAGTTCATTACGGCATTGTGCTACAGTGCTAGTGTAGTTTTGTTGCGGTATATTTGCCCGTTGTAAATGGTATCTTGTACACACCCTATACTCTGTATAAAAGAAAATACCAAATTTCCAGCGAAAAAACAACATATGCCATAATCTTATTAATCAGATGCCTAGAAAACATGAGTTCAACTAGCAGGGCAGAAGGATACTTGCCTTCAGTTCAAATACTTGATTACAAATCTGAGTTTTCACTTATTCTAACCGGGCGCCTTTGAATTATTTTCTCAACTTCTCCTTCATTCTGTCAACTGCAGCCCTAAGAGTTCCTTCATCTTTGCAGAAGGTAAATCTGACTAGATTCTTTCCATCTTCTGGGTTAAAATAAAACACACTGGTTGGGATTGCCACCACCCCAACTTCCTTGATCAGATACTCACAGAAAGCAACATCATTTTCCAGTCCAAAAGGAGTGTGATCTACAACCACAAAGTAGGTGCCACTTGATGGATACACTTTGAAACCTACAGCCTTCAATCCCTCCACCAAAATCGCCTTCTTTGCCTGGTAATCTCTTTTCAGCTCCACATAGTAGGAGTCTGGGGCTCGGATAGCTGTTGCAGCAGCCCACTGCATTGGAGTGGAGGTAGCGAAAGTGAGATAAGAGTGCGCCTGCCGCACTCCCCATGTCAGGTGTGGGGGAGCTATAGCCCAACCGATCTTCCATCCGGTCAGGGAGAATGTTTTCCCCAAGGAATTCATGGTTACCGTGCGCTCATACATCCCAGGAAGAGAGGCCAGTGAAATGTGATCCATTTCAAAAGCCAACTTATCGTAAACTTCATCAGTGAACACCAACACATCATTTTCAATGCAGAGAGATGCAATTTCATTGAGTTCCTCTCGAGTGAACATTTTTCCAGTAGGGTTATGAGGAGTATTTAGAAGAATTGCACGAGTATTCTTTGAGATTGTGGACTTGAGCTCATCGATGGGGACAGAAAAATCCGGAGGGCGTAAGGTGATGCCTCTTACTTTAGCACCAGCCATGGATAGAGTGGCTTCATAAGAATCATAAAAAGGAGCAAAGAGTATAACCTCATCACCAGGATTTATCAAGCCCAGCACAGTTGCCGCAATTGCCTCGGTGCACCCAGAGGTAACTGTAATTTCCTTCTCAGGGTCCACAACAAGTCCAGTATCTTTCTTGAATCGCTCAGCAATGGCAGAGTTTAAGTCCGGAACCCCATATCCACGAGCATATTGATTCTTCCCATCTATGATGGCCTGAATTGCCGCTTCCTTTACAAACTCAGGACCATCAAAGTTGGGGAAGCCTTGCCCAAGGTTTATTGCTCCATATTTAATGGCGAGACTACTCATTTGCGTGAAGATTGTCGTTTTGAATTTTTCTAAGCGCTTTGCCACCTGACAAACAAAGACCAAAACATTAGGGACACTTAAACTCTGCAACTGTTGATCAACTCGAGGAAGTAGTACATACAAATGTAGCTCAATCATATATGAATATGCAACATGCTGGATCAAAACAGACATGGTATAAGTCAATGATCACCGCCTATATTTCACCTCAGTTGGATACCGCTTTTCCCATGACATTGTCACCTAGGACCCCCAGCCAATTACTTGGCACTAAATACATGTCAAAAGCTTTTGGAAGCAGCCATGGACTGATATATAGATAGAAAAAGCAACAATTGAATATACTGTATGAGGCAAGACTAAAGTCTTTATAGAGGAAAACTGAAGTCCAAAAGGCAGGAAAAAGGGATGGAAAACCCAGAATGACTGCACTATAACTCTAATTAGTGACCGCTAATTGTCATCTTAGCTTAATGCTTTATTTTTATTATTTCCACCATAGTTTAGTTTTTACTCAACACATTTGACCTTACAGTTAACAGAACAGGCACTTCATTCACTTGAGATTAAAAATGGAATTTTGGACTCTACATTAAGCATATACATCACTGATAAGTTATAACCCATTATCCAATGGTAAACTTATATTATAATATAAGTGCATCATGTAATTACATTACTATTATATTATTATCATTGCTTCAGCGGGATTAAGTTACAAAACATACTTGGATTGCTGTCAATTCCTTACAATTGAGTTTCAGGTGGTTTCTTAAGCAGCCTCACATCACTTATTTTTCTCTACATTTCTTTTAAAAACATTCAAAATTAAAAAAATTAAGAAAATGTAACAAAAAATAGTAAGGCATAGCAGTACAGTGGCTACAGCCTGACAATCATTCTACAAGCATTGAGTAAATTGTAAACAAAAATTAAGTTCACCAGACAGATCCTACTGCAGATCATAAGAAAACCTACGAATTTCTACATACCTAAGGCATCTCATCCAAGCTATAAAAAATAAAACTAAAAATGAAGCCTTTTGGCCATGTGTAAATTGCCCGATAACTAAAAGCCCCAAAACCCAATTCCATTCAAACCACGACCATTTACAGTACGCCATGAAATTAAGCACAAATTGGGTCCATGACATACCTGTAAAGGCTGCTGGGTCTTCTGGATCGACTCGCTTTGACCTGAAACGACATCGTTCTGGGTGGAAACGGTGGACATGGTGGCTGAGAAAGATGGGCGAGGAGTGGCTCCTGTTTTAGTCTTAACGAATATAAAGTCTGCGTACAAATGCTTGGACAAATTTATCAATGAGGAAGAGCCGAAGCGCATTTCATTGGCTGGCCAGGTGCATTGAATCTGCATGACAAAAAGACACAATGGCAATGAAGGCAAACAGAGTCCCCAAAAGCGAAAGGGTTTCTATTCTAAGCGACGGTGAGAGTCAGAGGTGCACGACTATTTTTGTTAGAGATGTTTTTTGGGTTTGCCGGGAATGGTTTCATAGTCACTGGCCCAAATCCAATACTGTAAATTTAGTGGAGTGTTACAAATTTTTATTGAGTACGCATGGATCATGCTGCTATGCATGAATAGATAATTAAAATTTTGAGGTTTGCTACTAACCCATTGTGGTTATGGGCCTACTAACATGTGGGTACAGCACAAGGGCGTACTTTGTCCGACTTCACCAAATCGAACAAAATCAGGACTATCACACCTCATTTAGGGTCCGTTTGGCACTGCTTTAGATAGAAAATACTTTTATAATCCCAAATGACTTGTTTTTCTGTC